ATATAAAAGAAATACAATATTATCGGACGGGAAAACTCGATGAATGAGAATGTGTAATATTCCAATAGGTGGAGAAGCAGTAGACAATTTGACGTCATGGATTTCTAAGAATAATCCGTCTCTCTTCATAAACAATACACGAGAGGGTGGTGAGCCCCAACGCTTCTAAGAATAATGCGCCGCTCTTCGTAAGAAAATATACGGAAGGGGAAACTGGCGTTCCGGCGCTGAAGCCCAATTAGTCCTAAGGCCTAACGGAGAAGTAATAATATTAATTTATTACATACGATTTAATAAAGCAAGCTGCATATGCCCAGTTTACCGTCGTCCTTTTTAATGTATGATTTAATAAATCAAATATTTAGTATTAAATTTTATATGGATTTGAAGTTTGTATTAACAATGGTTTCTATAGAATACATTGTAGCTTCATATTGAGGAGTCTTAGATATTAGTTAACTAATGCTAATATTATTCAAAAATCTTTTTAATTATCATAAAGGTATATAATTTTGGGAATTATATTCGTTTAAACTTAAATTTTTCTTTACTTGTATCCAATTTTAGAAAAATTACTACAATCTAATCTTTATACAAATAGATAATTTACGATAATTTTAACATTATATCGATTCGATTTAGAAGAAAATTCTACTAATGCTGTAAAAGATTTTTTGTCTTGTAATTATTTATAAAAAATGAGCAACATATATTTAATGTATAGAAAATGCAGAATGAAAATTAAACGAATTATATAATCGCTTCTTATTGTCTTGCGTATATATTATTTTGTGCATCTTGGTGTTTTGTTATAGGTTGTAGGTGTATATACCGGTCGCTGGAGGAGTCCATTGCCGGGGGCTTGTCATATATCCTCTCCGGGGAGGGTATCTGACAACCCGCCGGACGGCGAGTGGTTAGGGGATAGGGAAGTGCGTCTATTGCTGACCCACTATTCCTATCATGGGCTGTAGGCAGGCCCTTGGGCCTGTCGACCTCGCTTATTAAAAGAGGGACTCAATCCACGGGGTCGGGGAGCCCTGAGGGGATACCGAAAGGGGCTTCGGCTTCCGAATGGGGTCCCTCCTACCATCCCGGCATGTGCTGACTTGAGTAGGCGGATAGATACCGACCGAAGCCGTTTATCAAGGCTTCGATGGGGGGTAGCTACCCCACGCGATCTGATTAGGCCAGCAAGCTCCCTCGGGACCTTGTGACGGGGTTTTGCCCCGGCCAGGTAAAGCTTAACTGCAACCATGGTGCTATGGGATATTTCCCCTCAGGAAATTGAACAAACTCAAGTACTGCATTTGTTTATTGTAAATTATATTTTTCATCAAAATTTCGATAGTGCGGATAATTGATACGGGGTATATCTAGTACGTTTTAAATTTATTTAAAATTTTTGGTTAAAAATTGCAAATATTTGCAAAAAAAATAGATTATTTTGGATTAAAAGAAAAGATAAACACAACCTGTTTTTATTTAATAATTTAATAAGTAAAAGTGTACATTCATTAAATAAAATAGAATACATATTAATACTAATTATAATTACTAAAAACAACTTAACAAAATACTAATAATTCCACAGTATGTCTTGAACTATAGAGAAATTGTTATATATAAAAAAAAACAATTCCACAAAAGACTGAGAATGATAGGAATAATCACTATAATAATTATTCAAAAATATGTATTATTTTTCCATCTAGTAAAAACTCGGCATTAAGTTAGTCCTGATCCTTTTCCAATTTGCACTTATCTTTACTTGAATCCACTAGCAACATCCGGTAGGACGGGTAACCATTATACAGGATCAAGTGGAAGGATTTCACTTTCAATTAAATTGTTAGTAACTAACTTTGATTATTATCGATTCCCTTCATTATATTTATTAATTTCTAGCGTATTTCCCGCTAGAAATCAATAAATATATTTGTTCGCCGCTAATGTGATGCCAATTCGACCGAAAAATCGGCTTTTTTTTTATCTGATTTGATTCAATCTTGAATCATTTCTTGCTTCCGAATGTTTGTGTTTATAATTATTTAACCGTCGTTCTAGCTTTGCAAAGCTTTCAAAAGGTTTAATTTCAATTAACATTTCCTAATTTCTTGCAAATTTTGATTTTTTTTATACCGAACAAATCGAGTATTTTATAACCGCTTAAAACACATCTATTATGTATAAAAAAGGGGTATATATCGCAAGCCCGACAACCGAAAGATCGTCTATTGCAATCCCGACACCCATATTTCCGACTGTATCAGAATCTCGACAACCTCGACTATATCGAAAATTTTTACAATAACATTTTTAAATTATTTCGGAGCGTCACCTTGTGCTACACTTTTATTATTAATAACAATAAATTATTATTAATTTATTTGATTTCGTTGAATTATTCATAATAAACCTTAACATTATGAAATAATCTCAAATACAATTAGATTATTAATTGTTATTATTTATTATTAATAACAATTTAAAAGTCACATCGTGATTTATTTCTGTGGTTTATATTTGTTCGTGCAGTTAGGTTTCTTTATTTTTAATAGAAAAAAAATATTTAAATAAAAACAGTAATTAAAACATGTTTTTTTTAACAACAATTCACATAATTTTAGTAACCCACGGTCCACATCGCACTAATTCATCTGTATTATTTTTTAAGCAATCGCTTCGAATCCAGTACATAAGAAAATATCAACTGGGATTAACGATTCCTTCCCTAGATCAAAATTTTAAAAAGAATAACAGTAATAATTAATACAGAAACATGATGTTTCCCCTACTTATTATATAAATGTGAATAAAGAAGCGTTTAGAATAATGCTGCATATATCATAATAATATTTGCGTTTATTTTTTATTAATTAACAAGTTATATTTTCTAAAAATCCTAATAAACATTTATTTAAAAAAATAAAAACAAATCTATATAAGCGTGAGTATTTCAGAACATACATAAAATAATAAATATTACTAGCGATGTTTTTTTTAATAA